CCACACAATGGTTTCATCAGTAATTATAATTATGGCAGCAATAATAATAATAATAATAATAATAATAATAATAATAATAATAATGGTAATAAGTAATCACAAATAAAAGCACTACGATACAATGTACAATAGTTACAGTAGTAACAAAACAACATACAATAACCAAAGAGTAAGTTTAGATGCGTAATGAAATTTATACAGAATAAATGTAGAATGTAAATTGGAAGGAAAAACTTCAACGACAAAATTTCCATTCAGTTCGATAATTAACTTCTTCAATATGGTGCAACTCTTGACAAAAGAGAATCTCAAACTTACTTCTGATAGATATCCGCTCAATTGAACTGAATAGAATGTTGTCGGAATTCGCATTTCATCAAGTTTTCATAACATTTTTTGACAAGTCCATCGTCCTTTCCTATGGATGGACGTTGGGCTTTTTAAAAAATGCCATGAAAAATTGCCATTTGTTATTTTCATTCATTTTTCATTCACTATTATTTTTTGTATTTTGATTTTGCCGTTTAACGGTTAGAGCGCAGTCTTGCTAGTGTGTATGGTGGCGTAAAGAGGACATACTCTTCTAATGACTTGCTATAATAATTTTCGCAGTCAAATCAATAATAAAAGAGGAAATTCGTAGAAGAACGCAGTATTTTCGTGGAAATAGACGGTGTTATCAGTTATAACCTATCGTCTTCACCCTTTCAGTGGCCTTATAAATGATATTAAATTGAATTGTTCGAATAAAACAATGAAGATTCAAGTTTATTTATCAGTGAGAAGTTTTATTCATTTCAGTTTTCTTGGTTGAAAAAGTGATTCCGTTTTTCAAGCATGGCGATGCGTTATGTTATGAATCCAGTCGGCCTGATGAATACCATCAAGTCATCGGTTGGTTCCACTTGAATCTTTACATCCTTGAGAATACCAGCATTATCACCCTAACTAGTGTTTTATTTTTCGAACTGAGTAATTATACATTATGTATCAATAATCTAGTTCGTTTAGCTGAGTTTTGGTATTTAGAAGACGTTATGATATGCCAATGATTCGGGTGTTGGATGGACTTAAATTTAGAATTAATTTACTGCAGATCCGTACAGTGAGTGTTGCTGCACGTGAGGTACTCAGCTCGTTGCCCGATTCAGAAATCAGTTCACTCAAAAATGGATTTCGTACCGCATCCGAATCAAATGCGCGTCCAACTGCTACGGTTAGTACTGTTCGCTATCCATTCTTGCGCTGGTTTACTCGTTTGCTTCGTATTTGCATCGAATGCGTTTCTTTTGTAGAACAGTAGTCAATTACTTACTGATTGAATTTGAATGGGAAAAATTTAAGGTTGGCGTTTGGATCGACGCAGGGAGTCGTTTCGAGACGGAGGAAAACAATGGAGTTGCGAATTTTTTCGAGCATATGCTCTACAAGGTATATGGTGGATTTGTTATTTTATTGTGTGGAATTGATGTCATGAAGATGAGGTGTTGTGATGCTTCTTTGATTGAGCGTGATCAGTACTTTTTTAAATTTTTAAATGTTTGAAGGGAACGGCGAAAAAATCAAAAACTGAATTAGAGAAGCAATTGGAAAGCATTGGTGCACGTTTGAATTCGTACACATCAAGAGAACATACCGCTCTCTTCGCACAGTGCTTATCGAAAGATGTTGATCAAGGTTTGTTCCTTCTGTTTTGATTAGTGGTATTATTCATCATTTTGTATTGTTATCCTCTCGGGTGATTCTCCATTGTTGATATTACTTCTATGTTGAGTGTAATTTATGATATTTCAGTGGTTGCCTTGATAGCAGATATGATTCGAAATTGTAAGTTGGACGAAGCGACCATTGAAAAGGAACGATCAGTAATATTAAAAAAACTGGAAGAAGCGGAAGATGATTATGAAGGTGTTGTTTTCACAAATCTTCATTCGGCAGCATTTCAAGGGACACCACTGGCGAAGTCGATCACTGGACAAACAGAAGTGATCAAGTGAGTGGATAGTTGTCTCTTATTTCTTGCACTTCATTTCTTTGAGCATTGTTTAGTTTTGTCAGTTCATCACTTTAATTCGTTTATTGATTTGTCACTGTGATTGATTTTTTAAAAATCATTCGATGCGTTTGTTTTTGTTGTGTATATCTGTTTGAGTTTTTGTTAAATTTTTTAGATCGATAAATGGAAAAATGTTAAAAGATTTTGTCGAAGATAGCTATAAGCCCATTCGTATGGTACTTGCTGGAGTGGGTGGTGTAGAGCACGCGCATTTGGCTGAGTTGTCCGAGAAATATTTTGGTGACATGTCAAATGATTATTCTCGCAAAATGCCTGGTGCGAGTGGAACTAGATTCACTGGATCTGAGGTACATTTTTCGTTTTTTATCTGTGAATACTGCATATGGGATGATGGCTTAATATGATCTCTCCTTTTTGCAGTCGACATTTTTATTTGTTGAATATTGTTTTGATGTTTGTTGATGTTACATTTTGGTTTGAATATATTCCATTTAAAAATGATTGGTCTAGATTCGTTACCGTGACGACAACATCCCGTTAATGTATGGTGCGATTGCTGTGGAAGGTGTGAGCCGGTCTCACCCAGACTATCTTCCGCTTGAAGTTGCAAATACGGTAACGTTTGTTTCTTTGTTTATTTTAGTTTAAGTTTAATGGTTTGAATGATTTCGTGACATTTTGAAGAGAATTATAATGAGCCGAATTGAACATTCGTTATTATTTTTGAGTTTGATGATGAAACTTCTTGAATTTATACGCCTTCGAATTGTGATATGCGGAAGTGATTGCAGTTCATTGGAAGTTGGGATCGTACATATGGATCATCCGTGAATGCACCATTGCGCTTAGCCCAAAAACTATCGTTGGCGAACGATTTGCACCTGTACAGATCGTTTTCGATGAATTACAAAGACACTGGATTGTTCGGTATTTACTTCGTAGTGGATGGAAACGACCACAATGAAACATTGAAAGTGGTTAAAACTGTACAGAAAGAATGGTGAGTGATGGTGTTCATTCATTCATTGCATTTTACTTGCAGTTAAAGCTGTTTAACACTTTCAGGAAACAACTAAACATCTTACAATTTGCAATATTACAATTACAGTCTTACAATTTAAAATCTTAAAATTTAATAGTGCTGATGGAATAGGAGAATTTGAGGTGATGTTGGATGGATATTGTTGTGTCTTTAGGAAACATCTGGCATCGGGTGTGACTGAGGATGAGGTGGATCGAGTGAAGAATATGTTGAAGACGAATGTATTCCAGTCATTCGAATCGAATGCGAAACGAGTGGATGATATTGCGAAACAGGTTGTTGTTTGATCGAGTGTTCGTGGCTTTGATTCGGGAGGATAGTGGCTATCTATTATCGTTGTTTCATTTCATTCTTGTTTTCAGTTTTATTTTCGCATTCATTCTCCTGATTCTCTGCTATTTTCATTATCGATGTTATTCATTGAAAGGTTTTGGATACCGGTAAGATTGAGTCGATGGCGAGCTTAGAACGAGACATTGAGAGTATTGACAAGTCACTGGTACGTGAAGCTGTGAGTAGGCATGTTTACGACAGGGATATCGTCTGTTCGGGAGTTGGTAAGGGCTTAGATAATGGCTTGTTGGAATGCTTGGCTTTTTGACAAGTGTTT